GGCAATGTCTTAGCAAGTATGATAGCGCCTTTTTCACCTCAGAGAGGTCCCTTCAATTAATACGGTGGTGCTGCTGGCAGCTGAGAGATAAACTCTTAAGTGAAGAGGTTGCCCTCCAGGTATGTTAGCGGGTTTTCATTCAGTTCTATTTTATCTCTCTTCAGTATGTCATTCAATAATATTGTCGTAGTTCGTGAATGTAGCTAATCTAACAGGCATCGAAGATTCTCATGGCCATTTCTCGACATTTGAATGGAGAGCAATTCCTATTTTTGGTTGAGAAATTAGCAAATATCTGCCGTTTCGAAATTGTTCGACAGCCCAACGTCTCGTTGAAGGTAACTGTCGCTGCTTTGAATCCACGTTTGCTGTAGTTCATTTTCTCCCTTTGTCCATGTAAAAGACAGTTGTACTCGTGGATTAAACCCACAAGTTGGAATTAGGTCCCAAGAGCCAGTCCCTCCCAGAGTGAGAAGGAGGGGTCCCCAAGCTTGAGAGGCGGGCCACTGTCGCGACTCAATAGTGTGAGGTAACGGCGTTAAGGCCTTGCTGCCGCGCTACTGTTCTCATCAGTCGTGGCATGCATGGTATTTGCGCCCTCTCACGTGCGACGTACTCAGTCGCGTTTTCCCTCTACTCGCAGCGCTATGTCTCTCCTTCATACCGCATCCGACCTCACAAGGAGAATTTCAGTGTTTTGTTTTTTGCTTCTTCTCCTCACTAACTTTCACACACTTCTTGCCAAATTTCTAAACACACCAGTTCGGTCCCGACTTGTGCCTTTGAAGCCTTTTTTTGATTGTGTCTCCGTCATCCTATGCTTAGTGACTCTTTAGCTAGATTGTTCAGGGATCACAATAACAAATCGGGATAACATGTTTCACAAATGTGTTTCGCAACCTGGTATAGAACAAGTGAAAAGTTGCAGGGATGATTTTTTTTACAATTTTTTAGAAGCTACCACCCGGCTTAAGATGCTGCTAACTTGAAAGCAAAAGTTTTGTGTTTAAAGCTACTTAAAGTTGTTTTAGCGTTCCACTTGCTTCAAAATGGCTGCAGCACTTATCATCAACGAGGACGACGCTTCGAAATTAGATGTCACGGCAGAACATTTCCTTCCTTTACTTGTTCGTGAAATGAACAGAAAATCATCCAAAGGTATTGCCATCAGAACGTTCTTAATGAGCTGCATCGCAGTTTTTTTTCTTGAATTCACTTGTTCGTCATTCTTTTTTGAGAACGTGCATTGCTTTTTATAGACCATACTGACACATTGACGACAGCGCCCGTTTAGACTTTTTTGGTTGCGTGGGACGAACGCGATATTGCAAACGCGTCTGCTTCACGTCATTCACGAAAATTCTTAGAAGCGGACACAGCGAACAAATAATGATCGACACATATTCTTCAGCAATGATCCAAGCGTAGAAGTTATTCAGGGTTTCAATAGTTTGGTGTCGAGTTTGTGTGTTTGAATGTCGTGTCTTATAATGAAAAAGCAAATTTCATCAAAAGGGGATTCCACGATAAGGTCGGACTCGAAGAAGTGAAATATAACTTTAGGAAAGGCAAGCGGACCCTTTAAAGGTGCGGGGCGATGCGGGTTCCGCAGCAAAGAGTATGCCCTGGGCGGCTTGACAGGGCCATACTTGCGCCACCTGCGCCGCTGCCCACCTACGCCTTCGCCGTTTGGCTCTAGTAAAAGCGTTATTGTTGATGATGTCAGCAGCGATGAGACACATTCGACTCGTAAATCAGCGGGCAAAGAAGATCCTATTTCTTGGCTTTTGAATGGTTTCTCAAATTTTCTTCTTCATCCTTGCACCACTTACCGCCTCTTCCATGATTTCTAATTAAACTGACGCTGTGCGCACTTTAAAAAATCGTGTATACAGGAAAAACGTGGGTGAAATGGGTGCGATCCGCAAGTGTATAGCGTCGTCCTTTTCGGTGTGTGACGACTCGACGGATTTAAGAATTTTCTGCATCTTTATGGACTCTTTGCATTCGAGTCATAGTTTGTAGATGTGGTTCTGCTTTCAGACACCGAAGAACTATACTCTATCTCCATGGAAGTGGGTGAAGTTTTCAAAACGAAATTAGGCGAACAGCGGTATTCTACTCAGCTAGCGGAGTGTCCAAAAAGCTGCAATTATCAAAACGGAACTGCGGAAGCGGAAAGCGAAGGTGATTTTGATACTCTTCACTATATACCCTGTGTACCCATTATCATTATTTGCTTTTTGGATGGTAAGCCTTCACGGAAATTTTTAACGAGTCATTACTATCACAGATGCCCTGAACGGGGAGCTGAAAAACTTTCTTCAATAACTTTAAAGCTCTAATCTGACCATTCCGTAAGGTATGAAGGATAGGGATAAAGCATTTGCCGTTGATCAATCCCTTTTTGGGATGCGGCACGCATTCTACTTCCATTTGTACATTCGTAGTGGCGTTTGAATGCGATGTGGCCTATACAATGACTTGCGGGGGCCAGCCGATGTACAAGTCAGTGTTTTTATCCTCCCAGACAAGTCTGGTACCAATTAACCGACCCCGGAGGGATGGAAGGCTTGGTTGGCCCGGGCGACTCACGACCCAGGATTTGATCCCGGACCGCTCGCGTGGTAAGCGCGCCACTTGCCACTACACCACTTCCGCCGCTTGAGAATACGTCGTCATAAATGCCTTGCGATGTATCGTATATTGTGCTCACTAGCATACAGGAAATTCAAATGTGTCGGAATTCTTCCAGCGGTTCGAAGGTGTATAAGCTACAGTTTATCCTTTCGGTGCACACGTCTGACTGTTTATCTAACAGAAAATATGTTACTGATTGAGTTTCCAATCCTGTAGGCGCTTCTAGCTGAGCTGCATCCTTTCATGAAATTTCCGCATGCTAACACATGGATAAAAATGCACCGTGAGGCTTGCATTCATATTTTGAGGAGGTAGAGGAGCGTAGTGGCTTGTTTCACATTTTCGGCGGGTGCTCTTGGGCTGCATATATAGGTAATA